AAGAGTGCCTTGCAGGGTGGGTTTTTTTGCCGGGGGGGGGGGGGTGGGACGGGGGATATGCAAAAAGCCATTAAAACAAGATCCTGCCTGCCCTATGTGGATCCTGAAGATTGCAGTAATTTTAGAAGACTAGGTGCTTGTACCTGTGGTGTCGGGCAAAAGTTACCCTTCTTTCGTTGTGCACTTGCTGCTGCTTCTTCCTTTCAACCCAGAAGTTGAGTTCCTGTTAAGGTTGTGTAATGCTTCTATGCAACAACTTTCTAAATTCATCTTAACGTGCCCCCCCCAAAAAAAAACACCCCCTCTCACTTTTGGCTGAAACTGTCAATGCTTTTTGTTGTCCTTGAGATGAGTGTGTATGCACAAATGCTTGGAGCTGTTTTATGCAGTTGGAGTTATAACATTTTGGGAAAATAGACTTTCCTGTTTGTGCAATGTGACTGTCTTTGAGGGATTTTTGGTTTGGGGGGCTTGTTTTTGTTGTGTGCATCTAATTCTAAAAATCTGAACTTTGAAAGTTGAAGCTTTGCACTTAAATAATCCTAATGCAACAGTGTAATTGCTAGGCTTCTAAAATGCAGTTGTTTTTCACAATTTTTTTATCAGTTTTAAAACTTAATATGGAGTATACAACATAAAATGTTCTACTGTTCAAAGTGTGTATATGCAGAGATGCACAATGAGCTTGTATATGCAGCTAGTTAAGTATACACTGGCTGGTTCTCGATCTTGTAAGTCTACAAGTCTATCCCCTACAGAGCAAAGACTTTGCAATTTCTGCAAGCGAGATAACTATGGATTGTATTTATTTATTTGAAAAACAGAACCAGAATTATATAAACTTAATGCAATGTTAGGGATCCTGAAATACTCCGTCAGAGAATCAGAAGGGGTCCTCTTTGAGCCCCTGCTTCATAGAACCTCCTGCAGTCCATATACGTCAGGTTCTTCTCCATCAAACAAGGGAATAAGACAGTGTTCTGAAGGATTAATTCTTGACGCTGTGCTTCTGTATCCTCCTCTTATCTTAGCATAAGGAAGAACCAGCCACTGCCTGAAGACAACTGCAGCTTTAGCCTGTGGAGGCTGGCCTGAGACTCTTGATATCAGACTTGGTAATGCAGACAAGATTGACGGGCTGATGCCCAAAGAATTGATATTTCTTTCACCTACCTTCTCTCACATTATCTGATAATACTGAGAAATTTAAGTAATAGTTGAAAGAAACATGTCTTTTTGGAACATTTGTTTGTGTATGATAGGAGTAGAACAAATAAGGCAGGCAAGTCCTAATCCCCTTAATTTGGAGGAATTTTCAGTGTGAAGTAGGGTGCGTATAACTCTCCAGCTGCTAAAAAAATGTTTATATGGCCCCCATCTCTGCACTGTTTGCCTAGAATGTGATCTATTTAGCTTCTTGTAAAATAAAGACAATTGAGTGAGTTTCTTCCCTAGGAAAAATGCATGTGTTTCCCCCTCCCCCTTTAAATATAAATATTGAACCCATCATACATAATGCTCATACAATAAACCAGGGTGTATAAGAATTATATATCTTGTTACTTATAAGGACCTACATGTGCATAGCTGGGAGCTGCCGTGGGCATTGCCTTGCTCTCCCCTCCCCCCACTGCAAGTCTCAGACAGGCAGGGAATTTGCCTCCTCCCCACTTGTGGCTCCATTGGCCTGACTGGAGATGCACCCACTCCCAAAGAATAAAAGTCAAACTACTCCTATGCCTATTACCATAGTATCTGCACACCTCAGAACACAAACAAATTAATCTCACAGCACTTCAGTGAATTAAAACAGTATTACTATTCCCACTTCAGTTTGGGAACTGAGATATGGAGTGATTTGCTTGTCCACAGTCACACATGTAGTCTGTGCCAGTGCTGGAACTGAACCCAGATTGTCTCCGTCTCAGTCTACTTCTTAACCACAAGACTGTCCTTCTTTCAAGCAGAAAAGATATTGCAATTTGTGCAATAAGTTGTTTCCTTTCTGAGCATCTATCAAATTCTTTTATTTTAAATGGTGAAACCTATTTTGAGTACCTTTCATCTTACAATTTTCAGTACTGCTCCCATTAGAAACACCATGTTAAGGTATTACTATGTCAGGTCAGACATTAAAGTGAGATGTTTACTTCCCAGACTGTGCTTCAAATCTGCCATACTCATGATCGCAGCATCAGACTTTAAATCAGTGAATAAATATTCTCCTTAAACTGTGTCTAAGCCAATGTGTAGTTACCGAACAGCTACCTAACATAGGGAATCAGAAGAGAAATGGAACCTAGCCTGTCTAGGCTTTTATAGAGAACCCATCACCTAGGATATCTGTGGAAACCCAAAGTTAGATCTTAACCTAATAGAGAATCTTTGTCTCTTCAAAGCAACGTGTAAACAAGAATATCTCTGTGGCAGAGAGGTTTGCTGGAAGTGGAGGGGAGGGGCATGAGGCTGGTACGCACAGCATTAGTGTGTGTGATGAGCTTACCTATATTTTTTATTAATATGCTGCATGTCTATGTGCGTTCATGATAGATTACTTGTTGTGGAGTTAGGTCAAAAGGGATTGCCAAGGGAACCAAGCAGGAAAGGTAAAACAATTCTC